TGCTGCTGCTGCTGCTGCTGCTGCTGCTGCTGCTGCTGCTGCTGCTGCTGCTGCTATTAGGCAGTGCTTGTCTGGATCTCTAGAGTCCTAGCATCCTTGGACTGCTGTGTACACCCAGGACCCCTCATCCTCAGACACTGGGGAGAGAGATGGCCTCTTTTGTTGAGCAAGAGAGGCAGAGGGGTTTCCTTGTTGCCCCAGATACTGAAGCAGGCTTGTCTCTGAAGAACCCAGATAGTCTTACCACCCTGTGCAGCCCTGGTGTGTGTGTGTGTGTGTGTGTGTGTGTGTGTGTGTGTGTGTGTGTGCATGCGCTCTCTCTCGTTCTCGCTCTCTCTCTCTCTCTCTGCCCAGCACACAGCTTCCCAGAAGCCACTTTTTCCAAATTGTTCAAATACTCAGCCCACCTCCTGTAATGAGATGCTAAACAGATTAGAGCTGGAGAGGCAGCGAGACTTCACATACTGAATGTGTAATAAGTCCCACCTGTAATCATCTTGCAAGCATTTGTACCAATGTAACTGCTGTCAACCCTGAAAAGACTTCCTCCATGCACTCCCCCTACACCGACCCTGACAAGTTCTCTTTTTCTTAGAGGAACTTTGGAAATCCAGGCTCACCTTGGCTTGTTTTTTTGTTTTTGGTTTTATTTTGTTTTGTTTTATTTCCCGATGAAGCAGAGGCTAGAAGTAGGCAAGGGAGCGAAGAGAAGGGAAGGAGCTGAGCCCTTAAACATACCTGAGACTATGGGAGGTGGGTAGGCAGAGGGGAGAGAATCTGCATCTTGAAATTAAAAAAAAAAAAAAAAACACGTGTAGCTGATAGATGAAATAGCATAGCACACAGGGGGCCACTTGGGGGAGAAATTCTGACTGCATCTGGTTCCATCTAGGGAGAAGAGCTGTCCCTTAGCAAGAGACAGACCTGAGCCAGGCTACTGAGAACTTATGCACCCTCGCCTACCCACAGTGCCACTCACCATGTCACCAACAACTAACAACATAGTTCTTAATCTAAAATTTTTAAATGACAATATAATTATATTATTTCTCCCATTTTCTTTCCTTCTACCAGCCTATCCCATGTACTTCCCTTCATGCTCACTCCTCCTTTAATTGTTGTTATTATATATATATATGTAAATATATATATTTCTAAATACATAAATGCAAACTGCTCAGTCCATATAATGCTGAACAACATTTTCAGGGTACAAGATATCCAAGACACAGAGAGGTTCCCTGGAGACAATGGAAACAGGAGAGGACCAGAGAGATAGAGAAATTCAGAGACAAAATTGCCCAAACCCCAGCAGCCCACCGTCTTCCCTCCAGACAGACAGACATACAGAATCCTAAGTGTCCCTGAGGTACTAGCCTCTGTCAGGGTACACCTTACCTTACTGTGCCTCCTGCCAGTACCCCCATGCTCCTGGGACTCCTCACACACAGCCCCAAAGCTCCAAGCCAAGCTGAGGGCAAGGACGACCACAAACAGCATGCCGCTCCTCATGGTGCCTGAAGGATAAAGGTGAGGAGGAGAAAAGACACAGCTCGGTGGGAACACAGGAGGCCTTCCTGACCAGCAGTTGGGCACTGCCATGTTCTTCTATCCCCCAGCTCCCTAGTCCAAGCCCTGATCTGAAGAGAGGGAGATGCATCTCTGAGAAGGGAGTACATCATCTGGACTCAGCTTACGGATCCCCTATTAAACATCTCCCAGGGTCTGCCCCAACAATGAGCAATGGTGTGGCGCTGGGAAAGACACTGGTCTGTTTCTTTAGCTAGCTAAAGAGACCCTGGATTACTGTCTCACAATACTAGATAACACCAAGACTTACAGAAAAACTTTCTGACCTGCAGATGCCAAACATGAACCATTCTCCATCCTTCGGGCACTTTCTGATATCCTTCCTGGTAGCCTGCTTGCCCATCAGAGGCTGCCCTCTCCTCTATCCCCTTCTGACTCTCACCCCTTATTCTTGGTGCCTCAGTCCACCACAATGTCCTCCCAGAACCTACTTGTGGAGCTGGATGGATGGCAAGATCAGGGATCCGGCTGGTGCTGCTGCAGAGAGAGAAACAGGAGTGCAGGGGGCTTTGGAAGGAACCAGTCCCAGCTCCCTGATAAAGGTTCTGGGAGGGTTTGGGGGAGTCGAGGGGAGGGGCTGAGAGTCACCAATCCCAGGGTGGCTGGAGGGGAGGAGGAAGGCTGGTAGGGGAGAAAATGCAGGCTGCAGTCACATACCCAGACACGTACCGCGCATGTACATACACACACACACACACACACACACACACACACACACACACACACACGCAGACCAGGCCCAGCAGTGAGCTAGAGCTGTCCAGCAGCCCACTTTCTGAAGGCACCCAAGGTAGGCACTCTATGGAATGCTGTTGTGATTTCTCACAAAATGACATTCCAGGTCTAGCTCAATAGGTGTGTCTCTTGGCCCTCTTTCTCATAACTCATCAGCTCCTCTCACTTTAAACCTGCAAGCTTGACTACTAACCTGGAACAGCTCAGAAAAGCGTTTCTGTCCCTGACACCACCAAGACATCTGGGGCTGAGGCCCCACTTAAAGACCGGGGGTGAAACTGGCTCCCTCTGCTCCCCTCCCAGCAGAAGCTCTTCTGTCTCTTGGTCCTCCAAGAGAGGACTCCAAGAGAGTGCTGGACTGAGGACAAAGACTCCCTCACCTCCCCCTAATACCACCAGGGCCACATAGTCCCATCCTCACCCTTCTCCTTCCTGACTCTGAATGAGCTGCCTTGGCTGCCTGGAGTTTTATTTCCCTCCCTCCTGCTATGGTCTGAGAGAAGGGACAGACCATGGCTGTGCTCACCCTGCTTCATGACCTTGTCTCTCGGTTGCCTCCCTTTCCCCTCAAAGCTCAGACATCTTCTTCTCTGACCCTCCCAACCCTGGTTTATATCCCACCCAGATGAAGGGGATGTTCTGTAGGTTTCTCAGCCTGGGAGAGACCCAAGGGAGGAGAGAGCGCCAGGGTCAGAATTAGAACTCAGAGAGGGCCAGCCATGCTCTGGCAAAGCTGTAGCTGGGACCTAGCCGTGGGGTTTGGAGACACACCAGGAGCTTAGATATACAGTAGGCATTTGATTTTCCTCACCTACACAATGGAAATAAGAAATGCATCCATTTTTTTTCTGTTTAGGAAATTGAGGCTAGGGAGGTTCAACGACTCACTCCCGCACACACAGCTACCAATTAGTGAAGAGCTGCAATCCAGGCTCTTCACACCCTAAGTCTCTCACTCTGTTTACCTCACTGGTATGTTGACCTTTGAGGGAAAACATTTGCTCTTCCACAGGACACAGACAGCCATCTTTCCAAGTCTGGGAGATTTGGAAACATCAACCCTTTTTACATCTTGAGATGAGGACAGTGTAGTGTGTGCCCCCTATTTACCATAAACTCCTTCTCTGGTCACCCTATTCAAAATGGCTACCACCCCATGCTCCGTTCTTCCAACATGTATTATATACAGCATGCTGAGATTATTATTGTCTCTGCCAAAGACACAAAGCCTAAGCATCTTAAGAACAATAATTTTGTCTGTTATTGTGACCTTCACCCTATAGTATTTGACATATCACAGATGCTCAATAAAAATTTATGAAAAAGAAGGGAGGGGACAGTGGCACACACCTTTAAACCCAGCACTCGGGAGGCAGATGGTTTTCTGTGAGCTCTAGGCCAGCCTGGTCTACAAAGTGAGTTCCAGGACAGTCAGGGCCTTTACACAAAGAAATCTTGCCTCCAGAAAACAAAATTATGAAAAAGGAAACCAGAGCCAAGGTGTGTGTTTATTTTTAATATCCACCCTCAAGAGCATCTCAAGTGCTAGCTGTGTCCTGAAGTCCTTCCTCCCCACTCCACACACCCTGGGACTTGGGTCATAGAGACAGAAAGTCACCCTTGCTGCACAGAGTCCCATGTTTACCCCAGAATGTGGGCAACAGCTGGGTACCAAGCTCTTCACAATAGAAGCAAATAGGGCCTCATTAAAAGCTTCTCATTGCCCAGTTAATTGCAGGACTGTGTGGGCAAAGACCATGGGCCAGCACCCACCATGAGCATTTGCAGCAGTGAGAAAGAGAACTGGGATACTGTTTGCATGCAAATGGTTCCTTAAAGAAGCCCAGGTCCTGTCCTACATGGCTCCCCCTCCTCCTCTCCTACCTAGGGACAGAAGGCCAAGCTGGGCAGGCCATGGGAGTTGCTTATACAAGAGCAGATGTGAGTCCAAAAGCCTGGTGGCCTCTCCCTGCAATACAGCCACCCCTATCCCCAAGTCCTGACATCAGGGAAGCAGAGCTCCAGCAAAGGTCCACCATGAATAATGTCCTTTGATGATGCTGTAGCTTACAGAGGATGGCAGGAGTCGAGGCTGAGAGGGAGCTGATCACCCCTTGATCTCTGGGATTAATAAAGACTTGAAAGAGCTGGTGCTGACCCATGTTGGAGAGGTGGTGAGGGAGGGAGGCATTAGGGAGCTGGAGCAGGCAGCTTCATTTTGCCCACAAACCATATGCAAATAACATGTGAAGTGTCTGTTGCTGCTATAGAGCACCTAGGAGGGTCCCCCCCCCCCATTTGAACATTTCTTTACTTGAGGCACACCTCAGGTGCTTCCACCATAGAGAAGACAGTACATAAAGTCTGGGGTCTGCAGCAGCAGGCACCCCATCCGGGACCCCACTGTGTGTGCTCAGTTATACAGAGGTGAGACGAGACAGCCATTCTCTAAGGCACATGCTTGTGTCCACAAGATGACATGTACTTGGCCACCATGTACTCCATGTGGAGAGATGATGAGGTGAGAGTGGGGCTGGTCCACACGTGACACTGGAGAGGGAAGGACGGCAGTTCTCAGTTCTCTGATCAACCGGTACCTGCAAATTAACAGAACTAGGAAGAGGCCCTGAGGGCATGGAAGAGGAATGCCTGAGCTGGATTAAGCTGTGAGGCCCCTAAGAGGCTCCTTAGTTGGGGAGTCAGGGCTGACCAGGATAGACTGGGACCCTCTGAGGTTGAAGCAACCTACAGGTTGAGAGTGCTGGCTGTGCTAAGGCAGAAAGCTGGGTGAGGCAGGGACTGGGGGCAGAATCCTGACTCCCATCACGAAAATGTCAATTCCAGCCCTTTTCCTTAGGTGGGAAAATGGAGCCCCAAAGATTTCAGGACCCAGAGCTCCAGAAGAAAGAAAAGGCAAAAACAGGAGAGAGGAAGGGGAGACAGCACAGGGGTGATGAGCCTTACCCATCTGCATGGTAGAAGAATGGAGGCCCAAAACCTGTTTGGCCCTCCTCATCCCTGCCCCCACCCAGGGAGCTGGCAGCTCCCTCAGCCCTGGGAAAAGAAAAGCAGGATAGGAGGAGCAGCTGCATTTTGTCCTGAAATTGCTTCTGAAAATGACCAGACACTTCACTGGGAAAGTGACGACAATTTGGGCCCTGGGAGCAGGAGATGAGGCAGAGAGCGGGGGCGACCAGGCTCAGGTCACCACCCGCTCCCAGTCAGACAAGATTTTCTGATTCTGAGAAGTCAAGGTTGGAGTTGTCATTTGGATAGGGGGAGGCTAGTCAGAGCCTGAGCTATCCCTCCTCCAGACCCAGCCCCCACAGGACAGGCTGTAGCCTCTGTCTGCCCAGGTTATTCCAAAGCTTGGTCTTAGGCTCAGAGTGAAAGAGAAGAGAGAAGAGAGGGAGGAGGAGAGCGCAGGAGGAGAAATTAATCTGCAGCCAGGAAGAATAGTTAATCGGGTCTCCCCGCCAGCATGATTACTTGGGCCCGTGAGCTGCCTGCTGATAAGAGGCTGCAAGGGACCCCAGCCTCAGAGCTCAGTGGAGGAGGTAGGGAGGAGGCACAGAGGGTGGAGCCTGAGAGAGGAGGAAGAGGCTTCCAGAGACAGGAACAATGGCAGCCCTCACTAACCTCTCCCTGAGTGCAGATCTAAATTTCACTGCTATGTGCAGCATGTTCCCCAAAGATAGAACGGGGTGGTGAGACAAGATGGTCTATGAGAAAAGGGAAATAAAGGACAGTAGGAAAAGCTATAAAGCAATGGCTTTCTACAAAATATTACATATTAACATTGTCAAAGCCCACACAAATAGAGATAGTGAGATGGCATGGCACAGTCCGAGACTGAGAGAAAACAATGACACAAAGAAAATGAAGGAAAGGACTCAGTCCTGGAGATGCTCATGCTTGAACTGGGGGAGTCTGCCCCTGTCCAGGGCTGCCAGCTGGGGGTCACAGCCGTGGGACAGTGACTAGTAGCAGCTTGGCATCTAAAGGGCATGGCAAGGAAGTGGGTTTCTGGGAGGCAGCTGTGATGCAGCCCATCTCTGGAACACAGGATGATGGAGATCCTGGGAGCAGGGTCCCGCATACCCTGATTTGCCTCAGCTTTCATGAACCCTCCAGCCTGACACTTCTTTTCAGGGTACATCTCTCAGGAGCCCACTCTCCAAGACAGGCATCCTCAGATCTTCCTTCCAGGGACACATTTAATGAATCAGCTCATTGGCCACCTGCGACCTGAGCCCTATCCCAGCATCTCTAAACTCCGCCAGAGCTCAGCCGGTCAAGGAGGCCAGAGACAATTCCCTCCTTCTTCTTATTGTCTGTGCAATCTGGCTTCCAGAAGCCTAGGGGAACATATAGCATGGGGGAAGGGATGGAGGCCCAAGCATAGCTGTGTAAAAATCAAAGTCAAGTAAATAAATAAGTGTATGTAAGTGAGCAAACATGGACCAGACAACACCACCCAGACCTTTTTGAACCACATGATTTATTAGTGGGCAGATGGGCTGAGGCTGGGAGGATGCTATGTTTGGAGAAAGATTCTGGAATGACCCAGGGAACAGAAAGGCCTCTTCTCTAAGTCCCACCTCATGGTCAGAAGAGCTAGACACAAAGCAGGAAGGAGCTGTGTCTCCAGGAGGCTCCAACCTCCTCACTGTACAGTCACCTCCATGGAGTGACTCCCCTTCTTCTTGCAAATCAGCTTGCTGTTCCCATTCCCCCCAGGGCCTTGAATAACCTTGACAGCCACACTGCTGTTCTTGAACCTCACTGAGAACCTGGAGGGAGAGGAGACAGAGAAACTGAAGCTAGCACCTCTGTCCTCTCAGCTGACTCCTGCATTTGTAGGTGACTTCTCTCCATGGGCG